GGGAAAGAGGAACTGGGGCGTGCGGGGATGAAGTGTCTGGGGGGGCTGGGGAAAGTGGGGGCCCCCCTGGGGCCGGGAGAAGGGTTGAGACAGGGGGACGCTTCTCTTCCTGCTGCAGGTGTTCACCGCCAGATCCTGTTCGCTACCGTGGGATGGTTTGTTGGCTATTACCTTGCTAAACGTACGGAGTACGTACATGCCAAGCTGGACAGAGACTTGTTTGAGTACATCAGGCAGCACCCGGAAGACTTTAAGGCAGCAGGTATAATAAGTTGGTACTTTAAGAAAGACCTCCGATTAATAAGTGCTAATGTATGTAAAGATGTTGCTGGGCTGCTTGCAGGATCTGTTCTTTTCTAGCAAGTCGTACGGACTGCTAATTCTTTTCCTGCTTATTCACAATCTAAATTGCAACAGTATTAAGGATTTAGTGATGTGAAAGTAGATATTTTTATTGAGCTGATCAGCTGCCTTGATGACCAACTCTTCCTCCTAAAAGCTTATGTTAATAGAAAAATGGCAGAGCCAAAAAAAAAAAATAGACCCAACTTGTGCCAGTGAAGGAGAAATAATGCAAATGAGAAATGACAGGTTTTATTCTGGTAAAATCACAATTTTACTGTTTATTCCTGTAAAATTGCAGTGCGTGTCGATGTAAAAACGATGCGATGAATATTCAGAAAATAAGCAGAGCAGGTGAAAAAAGAATAAATAGAAACATCAGGAAGCTGAAGCGCCGTTGGCTCTTGCTGGCTTAGAGCCTTGGTGAAAAACAGCGTTTTACTAAATGTAATCACTAAGCCCAGCAATGTAATGGTAAATTTTAGGTGAAAATTGTCTATTTTCTAATAAAATACAGTCTAGGTGCCTCTGGCTGTTGGGTTATAATCCACATTATGCCATTTTGGAAGGAATCTGTAGAAATAAAGAACTGTTAGCATTGAGATCACTTCACAGGGATCAGCCCTATGGAAAAGAAGTTGGGTATTTAGTTTATGCAGCAAGCTGATAGTTCGCCGTTGGTAGTGTAGCAAAAACCAGATTTTGGTGGCTTTGTTAACCTTGAGACTTAATATTAAAAATCTTCAGAATCGATCTCAAATGCGGATTAGGTTTTCGTGACTCTCCCCGTTGCCTTTTGTAGAAAAGAGAAGAATAGGGGAGCTTCTGGAGGATTTCTACCCAGTTCGCTGAGGATTTCTCCAGATTCCTAATTCCGTACCGAGAACTTCGGCGGGCTGGCTGTAACCGTTCAACCGTCCATGGCTTGGGAAATGAACCATTGCTCGCTTTCGTGTAATAAAAGCTATGATTAAGTGCTTAGTGTTTAATTATTTGTTCTTCTGTTACATTATGGTGTATCAATACACAGATGTCTGGTACTTGTAACAGGATAATAACTTTGATTCACCCCTTTTTCAGTTATTTTAATTGTGAAAATGGAAGATTGTTCATGCAGTATGTATCTTATAAAAATCCCAGAAAGTAGTTACGCAAATTCCTCCTTTTTATTTCTCTTTGGCGATTCCCCTAACCCTTGAGCGTGCTCTGGCCCAGCCCCCGTAGACGGAAGCCAAAGCCACGCTGGGAAATGAATTCTGTCCCGCTAGCGAGCATGGATGCTCTCCCTAATTAATTCCCTCTCTATATTTTGCATTCTTACGTTGCTTTTTCTTTGCTGGGGATCAGGATCCAACCTTTCTGCTTTCTCACTCGCTTGTTGGCTCCCGAACCCACACGCCGAACCCAAACGCCTTCCAGGTGCACCGAGGATCTGCAGCTCTTTTGAATTTCACTGCAGGGTGCTTGGCACCTCTGGAGGTCGAAACACTTCCAGCTGAGCCGCTCCACTTGTGAACGTTTTTTATCTAATTCCCAAACTACGCTGGTTTTCAGTGTCTGCCCTGGCTTCCTCCTACGCTGCCGTGTTCCCCGTGCGACGTTGTGCAGCGTCTCCAAATGCCGCCATTGCTGTCGACGTAAGGAAGAAATTCCTTACAACGCGGGTGGTAAAATGCTGGAACGTGTTGCCCAGAGAAGCTGGGGATCCCTTGAAGCGTTTAAGGTCAGGTTGGACGGGGCTTGGATCGCCCTGATCTAGTGGAAGATGTCCTGCCCAACTCTGGTTATGTTAAGGAGGAAGATGGCCATCGGCTGGGTGGAATGGCGACCAGGAAATCACAAAAGGGGCTTTTAAACCAAGAAGGAGCCAGGCTGCAAGGAATCATGAATGGTCCCAGCGTGAGGGAAAGACCTTGGAGGGGCAATGGCAGAAATCACGGAATCAGAATGCTTTGGGATGGAAGGGACCTTTCAAGCCCATCCAGTCCATCCCCCTGCCATGGGCAGGGACATCTACAACCAGATCAGGGTGCTCAGAGCCCCGTCCAGCCTGGCCTTGAATGTTTCCAGGGATGGGGCATCTCCCACAACTCTGGGCAACCCCTTCCAGTGTTTCACCATTGTCATTGTGAAAATTTTTTTCCTTATATCTAGTCTAAATCTCAAAAAAAGATCTAGTCTAAAGCCTCAAAGCTCTGCACGAGGCAGGACATCCCCAATGCTTGTATTTATCACGGATTCATGGAATGGTTTGGGTTGGAAGGGACCTCAAAGATCACCTGGTTCCAACCCCCCTGCCACGGGCCGGGGCACCTTCCACCAGACCAGGTTGCTCAAGCCCCATCCAGCCTGGCCTTGAACACTTCCAGGGATGGGGCATCCGC